CACGTAGCGAAAAGAAGAAACGACTGGCGCGCTGTTGTTAACTCGGCTATAATCGCGTAAGCGGTGTCTACGCCAATCAAGAAGAAGAAGAAGTTATTATGTTATTAATTTGGAAAATAAATAGACCATTATTACAAACCACACATCGAAAACACTACCAAGAATCCCAGTTTGAATAAAAGTCAATTATCAATTTCCCTGCCCGTGATAATGGAATGCCCCATAAAAGGTAAAAGCTTCCTCAGCTTTACCTTAAAAGCTGTAGTAGGTTTATTGTTTTTTAATCACCTCTGTATTGGTTAGTTAACTCAATTTAATCGCCTACCGCTTATTACTGTTAGATTTCACATATGAAATATATCGGTTGAGAAATATACAGTTAACTCATCGCAGGACATTTAAATGGTGAACTTAAAGATTATGAAAGTATTTTGGCTTTTGTTGATCGCGGCCAATACAAGTGCAAACGAAATAAATGACGTGAAGACAATATTCGAGCATCTTGAAGTCGTTCCAGATGTTGTACCAAGTGCACCAAACCGGTTTTTAAAAGTATTGTCAAACACTTTAAATTAAATAAACTTTGAATTTCAATAATTATTAAACATTTAGGTGACGTATGCCAACGACTTGGAAGTGAAAGCGGGCATAGAACTCACACCAACTCAAGTAAAGTCACAACCTTTGGTAGAATGGGAGGCGGATCAAGATTCATTTTACACACTTATAATGTCAGATCCTGATGCACCAAGTCGCCACGCACCAAAATTTCGTGAGTTCAAACACTGGCTAGTGGGTAACATCCCAAATAATGACATTTCAAAAGGTGAAATTCTAAGCGCTTATGTCGGCTCAGGACCTCCAAAAAATTCAGGACTACATCGTTATGTATTCTTGCTGTACAAGCAGAAAGGAAAGTTGGAATTCAATGAGGCAAGAATTGGAAATAACAGCAGAGAAGAACGCCCTAATTTCCGTGCAGCTAACTTTGCTTCAAAGTATGACCTTGATTATCCTGTAGCAGGCAACTTTTATCAAGCGCAATGGGATGAATATGTTCCCTTCGTTCACAAACAGCTTTCAGGCAACTAACACAATTTGATATATTGATTTGGTCTGTATTCAATTGTAAATCTTTTTTTTTTTTTAATTAAATAAGAATAGTTTGGTTGTTTTCAAAATTATTATTATTCTGTCTTGATTACCATAATACCTACATATATATTATATATACTAAAGTTAGGATAGAAAATAACTCATTTCCCTGCTGCTGTCGCCAAAGGATTTCTCAAAACCAAAATCACCGAATCTCCGCGTAAAAACATTTTCGATATAAAACGATCTTTATTTACTGGTTTAACTTTCTTCTTGCCTTTTCCCGTACGAGGCAATTCAGTCCACATTTCCTTAACACTTTCAAGAACCATATTACAGTGGCGGTCGAAAGCCTTTACACGACCAAGCAGCTTCTTGTTATTCCGGCAGTTAATTAGAACTTGTGTATTGTTTTTCACCGATTGGGTGAGAACGGAAAGAGGGCCTGTATTGAATTCTTCTTCCTCTTGGCGAGCAAGTTCCTCAGGTGTCAGTTCAGATTTTGGTTTTACAAGAGCCCTGCAAATCCATTTAAGGTTAAGTAACGCAAATATTAGATCATTGTTTAAAACTTACATTGTTTCAATTATAAGATGTTGGTTACAAAACTTAGATAAAAAGTTTTCCCATACAAAACTTTTTAATAAACGTTTACAAATGTCACTCACTTAAGCAGGACGCAGTGGTTTGACCTAACACATTTCAGGTACGAAACGAAACGAAACTAAATTCTTACAGAACCGGGTGTTTCCAAAGATATAAGAGTATTATTTTATAATTCATCACAATTATTTGTACACCGGAAAATAATAAAGTTTCTCATATTTTATTAAAAATTATCATTAAGGTAACGATTATCAAGAAGAGTTGTAAAAACTTCCAGGAAATATTCTTTTATAGTAAAAAAATAAGTATTTTATTATTTTTTGCCACAATTATTGTGTACAGCTTTACTACCAAGAACGCATACTACACTATGCGATAGGGGTGTATTGTCTGGGCACAATTCCGATTCCTTTGGCGCCGCGATTTGAAGGAACCGTTGGAAAGAGAGTCCTCCTGATTAGAAAATATATAGGGTTATAGACACCGCAAACGCTTAGTTTACGAGATATTGACCTTAAAGTTCACAAATTCGCAAAATTCGAACATTTCAAAAAGCTAAACACACTTTATTCACATTTTTCACTTCAAATTAATTAAATTAAATTACACTTTTAAATAAATCCATATTTTACACTTTAACAGGTTTTTTACTTAAATAATTTTTATTTTAAAAATTACATTTTACACTCGTTTGAAACTCATTTGTTTACCAAAATTTACGACGAAATGGAGTGCTGCCAGTGATGATAAGGCAATTCGCTGAAATTCCTCTTTCGAAAAAATTCCTCTATCCATGCATATGGATATTTTTTTTTTAATTTATTAAGCTAATAAGTAATATTATATACATATATACTGCGTCGAATAGTTTCAGAGCTGGAGTGTTTTCGTCCATCCCGACAACATGACCTAGCCAGCGTAGCCGCTGTCTTTTAATTCGCTGAACTATGTCAATGTCGTCGTATATATCGTACAGCTCATCGTTCCAATGAATACCATATTCGCCGAAGCCAACTCGCAAAGGGCCATAAATCTTTCGCAGAACTTTTCTCTCGAAAATTCACAACGTCGACTCATCCGTTGTTGACATCGTCCAAGCCTCTGCACCATATAGCAGGACGGGAATTATGAGTGTCTTATAGAGTTTGCTTTTTGTTTGTCGAGAGAGGACTTTGCTTCTCAATTGCCTACTCAGTCCGAATTAGCACCTGTTGGCAAGAGTTATCCTGCGTTGAATTTCTAGGCTGACATTGTTGGTGGTGTTTACGCTGGTTCCAAAATAAACGAAATTATCTACAACTTCAAAGCTATGACTGTCAACAGTGGCGTGAGTGCCAAGTCGCGAGTGCGACGACTGTTTGTTTGATGACAGGAGATATTTCGTCTTGCCCTCGTTCACCGCCAGAGTGAAGTTTTTGTTGCTTAGTTGTCCAGTCTGGAGAAAGCAGAACTAACGCCGCGGGTGTTGAGGCCGATGATATCAATATCAGCGGCATACGCCAGCAGCTGTACACTCTTATAGAAGATCGTACCTTCTCTATTTAGTTATGCAGCTCGAACTAGTTTCTCCAGAAGCACGATAAGGAATCGCCTTGTCTGAAACCTCATTTGGTATAAAACGGCTCGGAGAGGTCCTTCCCGATTCTGACGGAGCTTTTGGTGTTGCTCAACGTCAGCTTACACAGCCGTATAAGTTTTGCAGGGATACCAAATTCNTCTATTTAGTTCTGCAGCTCACCCTAGGTTGAAAAAGTCGCACGATAGGGAGTCGCCCTGTCTGAAACCTTGTTTGGTATCGAAAGGCTCGGAGAGGTCCTTCCCGATCCCAACGGAGCTTTTGGTGTTGCTCAACGTCAGCTTACACAGCCGTATAAGTTTTGCAGGGATACCAAATTCAGATATCGCGGCATAAAGGCAGCTCCTTTTCGTGCTGTCRAAAGCAGCTTTGAAATCGACGAAGAGGTGATGTGTGTCGATTCTCCTTTTACGGGTCTTTTCCAAGATTTGGCGCATGGTGAATATCTGGTCGGTTGTTGTTTTGCCAGGTCTAAAGCCACACTGATAAGGTCCAATCAGTTTATTGACGGTGGTCTTTAATCTTTCACACAATACGCTCGATAAACCTTATACGCGATGTTGAGGAGACTTATTTCACGGTAGTTGGCGCAGATTGTGTATTTTCTTAATTCTTGGATTGGGCAGAGCACACTTAAATTCCAATCATTGTACAAGCTTTCATCCGACCATATTTTACAAAGAAGCTGATGCATGCTCCTGTTTTAGTAGCTCGACTGGCAATCCATCGGCCTCCGCTGCTATTCGAACTTCTTCCTGGTCGGGCAAAGGAACGTCTGCTCTATCGTCATCGATTGGGGAATCGGGTTCGCCTTCTCCTGGCGTTGTGCGTTCACTGCCATTGAGCAGGCTGGACAAGTGTTCGCTCCATAATTTAAGTATGACCTGGGCATCGGTGACTAGATCACCTTTGGGGGTTCTACAAGAGTATGCTCCGGTCTTGAAACCTTCTGTAAGCCGCCGCATTTTTTCGTACAACTTTAGAGTATTACCCCTGTCGGCCAGTTTATCAAGCTCTTCGTACTCACGCATTTCGGCCTCTTTCTTTTTCTGTCTGCAAATGCGTGTCCCTTCCCTGTTCATTCTCGGTATCTATCCCATCCCGCACGTGTTGTGGTCGATCGTAAGGTTGCGATTTAGGCAGCCTGTTTTCTCTCCGCTGCGACACGGCACTCCTTGTCGTTCCAGCTGTTCTTTTACACTTTCCGAAAACCAATGGTTTCGGTTGCAGCTGTACGTAAGGAGTTTGAAATGCCGTCCCACAGTTCCCTTATACCGAGTGGTTGACGAGTGCTCTCAGAGAGCAGGAGTGCAATCCGAGTAGAAAATCGTTCGGCTGTCTGTTGTGRTTGCAGCTTCTCGACGTCGAACCTTCCTAGTGTTTGTTGGCGTGCGTTTTTTGCTCCACAGAGGCGGGTGCAAGTCTTGGCTGCAACAAGTTAGTGGTCCGAGTCGATGTTAGGACCTCAGAGCGCACGCACATCTAAAACACTGGAGACGTGTCTTCCATCTATCACAACATGATCGATCTGGTTGGTGGTTTTTCGATCCGGAGACAGCCAGGTGCTTGATGAATCTTCTTATGCTGGAATCTAGTACTACAGATAACCATATTTCGAGCCCCAGCGAAGTCGATCAGCCTCAACCCATTTTTGGATGTTTCCTCGTGGAGGCTAAATTTACCGACCGTAGTGCCAAAGATACCTTCTTTGCCCACCCTGGCGTTAAATTCGCCAAGCACGATTTTGACATCATGGCGGGGGCAGCTCTCATAATTGCTTGCCAAGCACTTATAAAAGGCATCTTTGGTCACATCGTCCTTCTCTTCCGTCGGGGCGTGGGCGCAAATCAGCGATATGTTGAAGAACCTCGCTTTGATGCGGATTGT